GAAGACAACGGCTGGTGCTTGCCAATACTGCTGTGAGATCCTGCGCAACCAGCCAAACACAGGGAGCCTGCTTCATTTCCCAAGTACTGTCAAGTTCTCCTGCAGCCTCAGTAACATGATCACCATTTTCCAATCACCTAATAATTTTCTTCAAAGAAATCACAAGAGTCATCTTTCTTATTGTGTCGAAGAACTAATTCTCATCTTCCATGTTTTACACCACTAACTCAAATGAATTCAGCAAGCTATTACTGAGATAAGAATGTGCTCAGCGTTTAAAGATAATTGCCCCTTACTTTGATGGACATAATTTTTACACGCTAACTGAAAGCATTTATGCACCATCACATAGGAACTGATCCTTTTAGGTAGAACTCTAGTTAAATAAAATACTATGAGCAAAATCTTTTGAGTCTTTTTTTTTTCCCCCTCTAGACAAGTCTTAGTCATTTTTTTCTTTAGCTGTTTTAAAGTATTGTACTGGTAGCTACTATTTAGTAAAGATATGTTTATACATATGAATTTTAGTATTTAGCCTTCAAATACAATCCTGAATAGACCATGCCATAAGAACACAGCAGTAAAGTCACCAATAGGCCTAAAATATTAGGATTTGCACAAAACCTGGCAGCTCAACTCTATAATGGCCAAGAATTCACAAGAAAGAAATGCCACTCTGAAAGCTTTTTTCCCGAGTTTATAAACTGATAAACACCCATTAGAAAGAATACTGAAGATATGCCACACAAAAGCAACATGGAACAAATGCCTTAAGCGCAATGTATAAAACAATGTATACTAGAAGATTAACCATCGTCCTCAAAGAGGAGAGAGCACGCAAGTGCGTGTGCAAGAGCATATTTATACAATGCATGCATAAACGCCTTCACTCAAAAAAATTATAATTAAAATAATTCTCAGACACCCTGGCTATTTATAGTAAACATACATAGACTACTCAGAGGGTGGTGAGGCACTGGAACAGGTTGCCCAGAGAGGCTGTGGACACCCCGTCCCTGGCAGTGTTCAAGGCCAGGTTGGACGGGGGCCTGAGCAACCTGGTCTAGTGGGTGGTGTCCCGGCCCATGGCAGGGGGGTTGGAGTCAGATGATCTTTAAGATCCCTTCCAGCCCAGCCATTCTATGATTCTATGATAAAATAACCACGTATGAATGTCTACACCATCTGTTCTTTGTTATAGGAATCACATCTGGGAGTTCAATATGTTAGAAATGAAGAATGTTACAGAAAGAAAGAAAAATAAATTTAATTCTCCACAGCAAATATCTTGTTATTGACAATACATATTGAATGATTACTAGATTTGCTTAGCATGAAGAGCTGTGTTTTGGTCGTTGAAACTGTACTTCCAAAATCAATCAAAAAAATCTAAAACATGATTGTTGTTATTCTACACCAAAAAGCAACCTATGAGATGGTGAAGAGGATTACACTTGGTTTTTTTGATCTTTTCCAAACAGATTTCACTCAATAAACTGCTTATATGTTTTTATAATCACATCATACTGGAGGCGGCTGTTCACCGTCAGGAAAATTTCTTTGCTTTAGAAGAACAAAGAGCAACTAAAAACAGGTCCACAGGGATTTCTTGAAGAAAAATAAAGAACTTCACAATGGATTCTAAACTCCAAGACGGGTGAACAAAAATTTGTCTACCATTGTAGACTAAAAGGAAAATTTCTCTAAGAGGATCAGCAAACGTCTTCCTAAGCAAACTATACTCAGACAAAACCACGATGTACAGCCCTGCTATTAACTTTTGATGAAATGGCCACTTTCTATCAAATCTGAAAGGGACAGTCTCAGATCACAGTGACAACCACACTCTAGCTAGCCCATATCGGTTCTGTTGCTTCTTCCTCACTCAAACATACACTGAACTTGGAAGGAAGGGTGGGATAAATAAGAGGGCTGATGATACTGTGTGAGGAGGAATTCCCTGTTACACGGGAGAACTGTAGCAACGCAGGACTGTTAAAGACAAATGGCAATAGGACTGTGGATAATAGCTGCTAATGCGAGACGTTACAGGCAATGTAGGAAGGTGAGGAGCTGGGTGAAATCTTGGGTGAGGAAGATCGTTTGTTAATACATTTGTAAATTCGAAGCCATGTGTAGTTTTGAAACCCATTTAAGGAACATACTAGTATCATGTACTCACCACGACACATACTTATTCACATTTTAGGAATAACCAGAGAGCTGCAGGCCTGCTCATGTGAGCATGCCGCTATGTTTCAAAGGCACTGAACTTGCTGGTCTATCTTTAACCAGATTTCCTTGTGAATAGCTTTAAGGTATGCCTGAAAAAATACTAAACTTCACAGGATATGAACTGTTCTTATACAATCAGAAGGCAGATGATTAGCTAATAAAATACATAAATATAATACCAGGTGCAGACAGAAGCAAATAAAATATGTTTCTGCAGAAGAGATTAGCATAGATGTTTCAATGGGTTAGGAAGTTTCAGTGACAGAAAGTATATTTAATATATAAAATCCATATAATGAGAAGCAGTGGAAAAAAAAATAGGGCAACTGTCATGTGTCCAAGAAATATTTTCTAAAAAAGCTGTCAAATATAAACACTTCACAGCAACAAAACACTCTGCAACTGAACAAGGCAAATTTAATTCAGAATTTACAATGTACCTCATCATGGATTTTATAATTACAAAAAACACTGAACAGCTACATCTCTCCAAACTGAAACAACACTTACCTTCTCCATTACATAACTCCTGCCTGCCATTTATGATTAGTTGGACATAAAGATTGTTGTTGGTTTATTTTAGCAAAAGGACAGTTGAGAAGGAATACAACCAATGTGTATAAATAGACCCAGAGGAAAACACCTGAGAAGGGTAAGAACTAATTAAGCTCAAGGACCATGCTGGCATAAGAACAAATGGTTATAAATTGGTCATGAAGAAATTCAGGTTGGAAATGAAACAACCTGATGTTTTCAGATGAAAATTCACAAATTTGTGATCAGGATGACCTGGCTGTCTGCAATAACAAGGGCTTGAACTCAAGTGACCCAGGATGCCACCCCCTTCCAGTCATACATCCTAAAAACACAATAAATTTTAACACTCTTGCAGAATAACTATATGTTAAATCCAGTAATAGATCTAGTCACTGAAAAAATATGTTATAGGCTATAAATAATAATAGAAAAAATACCTATAAACTCAGATGTGAATGAATTTCCAAAGGTTTAAAAACTGATTTGTGTAGTTCCAAAAAACCATGGATCCTCATTCAAGCTATCAAGACTATGAAGTTTCCCTTCCAGCAATAGGTAGGGCTAAGATAAATCTGCCTAAACCCCATTACAGCAACAAACTTTGACTTTCATTTCCTACCAATATTCCTTGTTCTTGTTCCTTCCCCCCAAAAAATAAGGAGGAGAGTAAAACGCAAATACGGCATCCCTTACCATCACAGAAAATAAATAACAATCTTATCTTTGATGCCTTCTGGAATTTTTTACTCTCCCTGCCACAAAAGCTCAAGAAAATAATACAGAAGAATAACCAATGCACATATGGGATATACCAATCAATCAAAAGGCCCATTCACTGGCCTTTTTCACCAACTTTGGTAAATGTGATACCAGAACCTATTGAAAACACCCTGTTGTTTCATGGGGTGCTTTTTTCCTAGCTGTGAAACAAGTAAATTCTGCATTAGGAAAGTTCACACTAGGTAAGTGAACCGCTTCATCCTTGGAATACGGAATCTTAAAAAAAGCTGTTCTATTGTCAGTTGATCCTCCATCCATCAGATCCAAGTTTTAGTCTCAGCTTTTAATAATGCTAACTAAAATATTTTTAGTCATTAAATACAATGGCATTTTATTTTGAGTGTCTTTTGTAATACTCATGTTCAACAGAAATGCCATTTCAATTGATCCATACTTTTTTTGAAAATGCAGAACAAATTAACTGCATTGTTTTACCTGAAAAAAATCTTTTCCTTTTTTTCCCCTTCTCATCCTCTTTTTCTTTTCTTGACGGTTTTTAAAAAAAACACAAAACACATACAATGTCCAAATAAGGATGCTTTTGCTAAATCGCCTTCTCTTTCCCCCAAAAGTCCATTATTTAGCACATATGCAGCTCTTAAGCAATGAACGTTAAAGCAATCCTAGCCTAGGAAGCCCTGACCACATCATCACAAACATTCCCCTTCTGGACAAAAGCATACTTAAATACTTACAAAAAAGAAAAAGGAGATAATGATCACTGCCCATACAGTGATCTGTGTTTTTTGATAGTGATACCTAAGTTTACCCTTAATTACTGTTGCTTTGTTTTATTAAAAATATTAAAGTTAAATTATTTTGGGGGACAAAAAATTTTGTTCGTCAGATAGGTAGGTTTTTTTTTCAGCAAACGAAAATCCTTTTCAGTTTGAGCTACTTTTCACACTATTTTTCACTTCAGACTGAACCAGAAATCAATTATTCATGAGGTTCTAAGCTGAAGTTATTAAAAATGGCTTTGTGCTCTCAAAATTCCTCTTTCCTACCCTTCTTTCTTGAAAGGAAAATACCTATTGCAACCAAGAATGAATTGCAACAGATAGAGGGCACTTGCTAGTATAGCTCCCCCCTCCCCCTTTTTTTTTTAAATGCTGTGGGTAGCAGAGTAAAGATTATACTATTAAACACATATATATGTATTTTCATGTATATATATATATACACACACATGTATTTACCAACTACATCCCTATTTATAGACTGGAAAATTCTCAGTAATTAAAAGGAAAAATATGGGCAGCTTTTGCAGGTGGAAAGTGAATGCACTTACACAAGCTCTAAGGAAATTATCGTTGTGCTAATATAGTGCTATGACTGTTGAAAAAAATCGAGTGGATGTGATGACTCTATAAATATACACACTATTCTTACAAAATTGAGGACACTGTATATCACTGCATTCTTATTCTGCCTCATTTAATACTCACAGACAGATTGTAAGAAGGTTCCAGTATCACTGGCACTGACATCTTCCCTTGAAGATTCAATTTTGTTAAGTAAAAAATCTTTTCTCCCACAATCCTCTCTTTTTTCATGCGACGTACGCTGTACAGTCTAAAGCGAACTGCATAATTCCCAATCATCTCAGACTCAACGTGATTAAATTTGAATGTCTCTGTGAAGACAGGGCACGGTCCCCGCTGGATGCTGGTTTTTGCTCTCTGCTTCTTTATAGGGAGAAGAACTAGGTGTACTTGCCACGAGCTTCCACCTGTCCTGCTGTATGTGGGAATGTCTGTGACAGCTGTCACTGTCACCAAAAGCTTCTGTTCCTGTGAGTCATAGTCAAAAGTCACATCCAGTGTGCCATATTTAGCTACTGGCTCAGGATCAAAAGGTTTAGGAAGCTGTGAAGATGATCCTCGAGCTGACATATCCTGAAGAAGAAGGAAAAAAAAGCTTTTTATTTATTTATTTATTGTATTCTATTATTAAATCTATCGTGGAAATATATGGCTTTCTCTACGCAATAAGAAGTGACTATGATCTTTTTGTTCATTTCATAAACAAGGTAATTAAACACTGAAAGCCTGAGGAGATGGCTGACTAGCAGCCAAGAAGAAATCAAAAGACTTTACCTGGCCAATACTGCCAAAAGCCAACTCCAATCAGACCGAGCTCAGATTAAATAAGGCTGTATATATGATCTCTTCTTCCATGCCCCACGTTAAAATCCATACACATTTGTTATGAGATAGAACTACGTTATTTCTGTGCGAGTATACACAAATTTTTAAGTTAATGTATTATAGTTCTTTAAGAGCTGACTGCTGATTGAGAGCACAGTGAGATGCCAGCGAAGAACACAGGAATTACAACACCTACTTGCACATGCAGCTCTTGTTGCAGTCCACAAGTGTTCTATAAATGTGCCAAAAATTATCATGGCTTTATTAATGTAATTGTACTGGAACTGTGTAAGATGCATCTATTTTGAACACGCTTTCTGAACTTTCTGTAAGTGGCATCAGTCCCAAAACTGTATTTTAAACCTAATTTTAAAATTGTTTATCATTAAAATTTTGAACAAAATATTAATCGCCTACATTGTTACAACAGCTAGTTTGATAGTGATACTGAAACACAAACTATTTACAAGTACAGGTCAACCTACTGTTCCTATAATAAGTTATTCCAAGTAGGTAAAACAGATGTATTTCCTGTATATTTTCATATTATCAAAGATACGCTTGTTCACGTAAATGAATAGATGCCACAATATAGCCATTTGGATTAAAAAATGTTATGTTCTTGTTTTAAACCGGTTGCTACATAGCTACGGGAATTCATTCCTCTGAACGCTTCATTCTTCAAGTTGTTGAGTGGCTATAAAAAAAGTTGGCAGCATTCTCACTTCTTATTGGGTGTGCTTACATTAATGACTGGTGTGACACAAAGGGGGAAGGACTAGGATTAGATTTGCTGCAATCCGTTCAGGTTCAAGGACCATATGTACACACTATGTCTTTACCAGAAATGAAGTTCATACAGATTGTGGTCCTAGCTGATCATCAGCTACTACTAGACAGCTAGCTACTGGAGAACCTTGCATTCACATAGCAGGTAGGTCTTCCAGATGTTGCACCAACACTCCAGGTATGCAGCATCAACTTACCAAAAGGTCTACTAAGACAGAAACAGCTGTTGCCACATCAGGAGTGCTCCCTAATATGCACTTCAAAACTTCAGGTAGAGACAAAAGACAAATTTGTACCAAAAAGAGCCTCTTTGCACATGACATCACTAATGTAGACTTACCCATAAATGTCAGTGCAGCAACTGGTTGCTAAAGACATTTCAAGGAAATACACGTCAGAAAAGATTATTTCTTCATAGTAAAAATAAATAGATACCATTACATTTTACAGCAGAAAAAAAGGAAAAATAAATGGAACAAATCTCTATACTACCATCAACAATTGAAAAAAATTCTTTGTAATACTTTTTTTTCCATAACAGTTGTTTTACATTATGGGGTGTTCAGTTTGAAAAGTGTAAACAGGTTTTTTAATTTTTTTAAATTTGAGTTGTTTGAAAAATTACGTGGAAGAAAAAGAATTTTGACTGCAGTCCTCATGGGTGATGAAGTTTTCTGAGTTGTTTAAAAAACATTCACTCTTACTAGGAGCTTGTTTGAAAGTTATGATGCCATAAAGATAACTATAAAGAACAACCGTAAAAGCTATTGTAATATTTTCTGACAACCTAACTTTTTTAAAAGAATGAGCTGCAATATTAGTGTTCATGTATCTGTACATCGATCTTTAGGGAGGGGAGGGAAAAAAAAAAAAACATATTTTCTGACAACCTAACTTTTTTTAAAAAAAGAACCGCAAAAATAAGGGTCCATGAATCGTAAATCCAACTTTTAGGGGGGGGGGGAAAAAAAAAAAAAATCTCTCAAAAGGTTGCACTGCATGACACTTCAGAACACTCAACTGGTTTCATTTACCTCCGGACTAAGGACAGCTGTGCTATCACTTGGGACATCCTCTTCGTATCCTTTGTTATGAAAGCTTTCTATTTCGTGTCCCGTGCTTCCCTCACTTGGGCACTTATATGAACATCTTGGACTGTTGCTACACTGGGAAAATTCACATTTACTGTCTCCAACTTCAGAAGGCGTACATGAAAGATGAGGAGAACCACTATCATCCTGGTATGGAGGCGGCTGCAGTTCATCTAGCGGAGGTGTTCTTCTCATCCTCTGAATGCAGTTCGCTGAGAATAAGCGAAAATTCTTTACTTACTTTCTGATTATTTACTATTGAAACAGTTCTGTGGAAAATGATAATTCCAAATATCTGGACAGAGTATTTAAAATCTATAAATATATTTTTTTACTTTACATTTTAAATTAGATACCAAATACTACCAAAAAATATTTGTTTAAAAATGGAAACAAATGATCTCTCAGATGAAAGAGATGTGGGAAAAAGCAAAGTATTAAATATATAGTCACAATGGGCTGTGTAAACCATATATAAATAAATATAGCACAAATATGACATGACAAAAATTCTAGGCTTGAATTTCAGGGTTGCTTACCTTGCAAAAACCTCTGGATAGCTTAAGTCAGATTCTGTGCAGGTGGAATGCAGACCAATTAAGGAAACAAAATGCACTCCCTAAAGCCATGATATCAAACTTCTGATTACCTCCCATGCTGTTGCTCACCCAGGTAGATATTAAATTAAACTCTGAAGACAAATAAGGTACTAATAAAGGCAGACACAAGCGCTTTCACACAAGCGAACTCTGATCACCAGTGAATTTAACAAGGGAAGCAGTGTCTCAGATTCTTTATTACTTGTTAAGGACAGCTAAAGGGTACGTACCCAGTGTCTAGAAGTTAGACACTAGGTCCAGTCACTAAAGACAGTGGCAAAAGGACCATGAGCAATCTTGTGCTTGGGATGAATACTTGATGCTGACCATCTCTGCTTCTCACTTACACTAGCTAGCTAGCTAGAAATGTGGTTATACATCTCCTCAGAAAATAAACCCAGGATGCATGGCTATGGATACAGAAAGTTAATTCAAAATAATTACATCTCAATTTTTGATCCCATATTTTACTATGCAGCATTACACAGTTGACTGGAGTTTGGACAAGCAAGACAGCAAGGTGTGCAGTAGCTGATATGAAAGGAATACCAAGGATAGGTAAAACCTGTATCACATTTTGTTTACATCTTCATTAAAACCTCTACAGAAGATTTCGATGCCCCTCACATGTAGAATTAACTTATACACAAAAATTTCAAAGCAACAATGTTTTCTGGTGTCAGACATACCACCTTCACTCACAGAAAAAATCTACCAAACAAGGAAGTTAACGGAAGTATTAACATTAGAACAATATAAGCTTTAATTTCAGATTCATCTAAGAAAGAAACTGATCTTTCCCACGTAACAAAGGTGGTACATTTTAGCTTCATCATCAATTTTTTGTGTATAGGATTGCCCTGCCTGTGTCCTAAAGTCTCACAAAGCACATCAACCTTTTAACTGCTTCAGAGGTAATTACCAGTTGTTCAACATATCACATAAACAGAGTATGCTAAGAGTTACCCTTTATGGAACAAGGCTGAAAACACAGTAATGTGGCTCTCTTGGGAAACAAACAGTCTTTGCGAAAGGCTCCCCTTTGTTCTCCTTTCCTTTGGAAGTCTGGGCTGTTTCTGATTGTGGCATGCAGGAACATTTCACAGTTTCTGGCATTTGATGTAAACCCAAACCACCGTGGTTTCGGTGCACACCGTCCACGGGAAAGCAAACCCAGACACATTGACTAGAAGGGAGCCCATATGCATTGCAGATCCCCGAAGCTGGACAACTGAGGGACAGGACAGCTTATTATGGAGCACATCTACTGCACAGATAGGCAGAAGCCTCAAAGATAACGAGGGAATGCAGGGCTCTTGTCTACTTCACTGGGCTCCTAATGGAACTCCTCTTAGCTTTAGCTAAGGCAAATGAGTAATTAAAACACCACCAAGCACTCCTACCAGATGATACCACTGTCAGGAATCCTCTCTTCTCTGATAAACCCATCAGAGCCAGCCCACCACTCAGAGCGATTCCAAGTTACTCTTACAGCACTCATGCAAAGGTCTTCTGCTGTTAGTTAGCCCAGTGCCACTAACTCTTGAAACTCCAGCCCCACAGAGCTGGAAAGGGAAACGGAGCAGGCAGGGAATCCTATACTCGAGATGTAGTCATACACATAAAAGCTTACATATGAAACAGAGTGAAGTGGGATAGTCAGAATCTTTAAATTGCCATGCAGAAGTAGTGAGTAAGCTTTATCTGCAAAACATGGAGAGATCTGGGAATGCACTTTTTTTTTTTATATTAGATAACTTGTGTCCATGAAACTAGACAGACATAATTTTAGAATCTAAACTGATACTTTAATCATAACAAAATAATAACAAATATCCTTTGACTCTCTATACTGTGAAAACAGGACTTCCTTTTCATAATTTATATAATTAAATATTCTAGCAAATTTAAAGCAACAACATTTCTGCTCACTGTTGCTAAAAGGCAACGAACAGCATTAAATGAGACAGTAACCACCATGTAGCTATGACTTAATTGCTTTCTTTTCACATGTAGTCTAGTCTGCAAAGACTTTAACTCCCAGCTTTTCCACAAGCTAGAGAAATGAAAGCGTGTCTGGGTAACTATCAACATCATTATTGTCTTACATGAGTAAATAAATGACTGTGTGACTCACTTTTTTCACTTTGATGAACTCCACTATATGTCCCTATGGGAAAACTGCACAGGCTGTGTGACAGAAAAGGTACTTTTAATGTAGGCGGTAAAGAAGTGAAGAAAAGAAAATTCTTATTAACCAGCTGTGATTCAAAAATCTCAGAAAAAAACTGAAACATTAGGGCAGGTTTTAACTATGTATTTTTGAAAGTTTAGTCTACCAAACAGAAACAGAATGTAAATTCTTAAAACAAATATCCAGGTTTAAAAAATCTAAGGACACCTATGTCTAAACAGGCATAAGCTGTTTTTGAACAAAAGGTTTCTCTACATAAAGAGATATCAAAGTTTTCAAATGAATTTTTGAAGTGAAAATGTCTCATTTTAAATTAATCTCCCCCTCCCTGCAGTAAATGATGCAATAAAATCATGATTTCATGTTACATCTCTCTGAACAAATGCTGCAAATTTGAGTTACATGAAAACATTCTAATGACCGACGATATCAAAGACAAATGATATCACAGACAAAAGTGAATACAGCAACACTGAATATCTGATACTGGGTATTTTCCTTAAAAATTACACAGAAGTAACAACAAACTTCAACAATCAGTCAAGAGCATTTTGCGTATGTAGCAAAGTTTCAAATAAAAAAACCATTGCTAAGGCATGCTGGCCTATCACTGATTGTATTGGAAAAAAACATTTGGAGCTGAAAGGAAAGCATGTTCTGAAGTGTTTGCATATTTACCTATAGAACCACCGTCTATAACATACCTTGTACCTTTCATTTAAGGTGTAAACTTAGACACTGTTACACTTGTGCATACTTGTATACTGTGACAAAGCCAAAGAATACCTTCCACAGACCACTGAATGTGGATAATAACATCTGCTAGAGAGTTACTCTTAACAAGCAAATGGTTACAGTGAAATCTAAAATTAATTGTTGCATCGTTTCTATGCAAGTTTGCCAAGAAACTTTCTGCTCTCAAACCAGATAGAAAGTAAATTTTGCCAATTTCCCCCAATGAAATTAATCATATTAAATTACTATACAATTTTGGACTAGACAGCGTGAAAAACAAGCCAACATATATCCCAAACCTGGAAGAAGGGAATAATCACAGAGAAACCAAATCGGGTTCCTACCAGCCAGAAAATGCCAGAACAGAGGAAAGACAAAAAGAAAGTTATAATAGGATGAAGATCCCAGATCCAGTTTTCCACCCAAAATATGTGAAATAACTGCATTCTCATAACATAAGTGAAACTAAGCTGTTTAGTAATAAGTATTTAGTAAACTCTAAATTGAGAATACACTGTATTGCTGTGAATAGGTGGATTTGAATAATCACTCTTTTAAGGGTTAACTATTTTAATTAAAATTTTCATCCTTCTATAGTGGGCTGGGAAAACACTCTCATAGTGGTAACAGCAAAGTCCTTGCTTAACAGCTGAAGAAACCAGAACTATAAGCGAAATACCTGACAAACACAAGCAGATTAGCATTTTGCTGGTACACTCAGAAATTACAGCGTGCAAACTGTCATTAGCACATTTAAGTCAGAAGTAAATAAATACCTTCTTTTTAGTACTGTTTGTTAAACAATGAAGGTTAATCTGTTTTCGTAAATCCCTGTAGAGGGGACTGATTGAAAGGCAAGGGGCGATTATACCTATTCTTGCCATCAACCTCAAGGGACTGGTCAGTATAACCAGACACAGCAACCACGGCCAAAATGAGTATTCCTGGAACATACAATTGATAACTGTGAGAAAACACACAAACTTTTCCAGTCATTTTTCTGAGTGGAATCACAGCTTAAAGACACACGAACTTACTACAAGAAATGTTTTTTCTTTAGGTTTTCAGTTACTATTTGAACTTTCTGCTCCCAAAGCTCCTCATTTCTCCTCTCTGTCCTGGTCCCTTGTGGACCACGCTAGGCTGTACAACATTTCACCATGAAGCTGGTGATGTTCCTTTCCATGTTTACAACATTTAGACTTTGCTATCTTAATTAATTTTCCCAAAGGTTGCCAGCAGCAGCACAAACCTAGCTTTCTTTAGACCATATTTCCTAATTCCAAGAACATGCATCTCTTAACATATGGAAAAAGAAACTATCTTTGTGGTTTTAATTCCCCTGTCTCCTAAGCAGTAATTAACTACACTTCCGCAACATGGAGTTTCTCATATACATTACTTCTTTAAATATTCATACTATTGTGGGACGCAGCATTACCGCAAAACTTCTTTGGGAATCTGGTTTCCAGTTCCTTTAAAACAAATAATCGCTACATAGACTAATAATTTTTGCAAGTCATATTTTGTAATTATCAGAATATCTTCATACTCAAACAGTACCTTTTCTTCCTCTAATATATGTCCACATACACTATGCTTCATAATTAATTTTTTTTAATCTAACCTAAATTTCAAGTTTTCAAGCCTTCAAGGGGTTCTATGTAAATGTTAAGACACTTTA